GCGAGAAAAACATCATCATTTATTTCCAGCATTCCAACAAATTCAACCGTCGCTGCAGCAACATCTTAATCAACAACAACAACAACAACATCTTCTGCAACATCAACACGATCAACACCATTCTCAGCAACAATATCGTCAGCAGCACCAGGAGAGTACAAATTGGTCCAATCGTAATGAATCAGCAGTACCTACAAACGCGAACTGCAACAACAAAACCAACATTAGTGATAACAACGACATCTTAAACAACAATCGTCCCACTTACAACAGGCCAATCTCATCTGATGGAAATTTTATGAAGAATGATTTGTACATATCTAGCAACAATTTGGGCAACAACCACAATAAAACCGACAGCAACATCTGCGCCAACATGCACGCATCTTCATACAACAACACGTCGTCTCTCGTTAAAGATGAGTGCAAATCAATCAGAAACACTGGCAACGATTTGGACTTCCATGTGCCAACATTTTACAACTGCAACGACAGCCACGACATCATCAACAGCAACAATCGTATAGGTGGCCACATAGGCAACAATGCTGTAGATCAGACCATCGATAATGAATCTGCACCTCTGGACTTATCTTGCGCTAAGAAGAGAAAAAGTTCAACACCACTTGAAAGCCCTTTTGCCACGACAAACAACAATCCAAATATGCTCTTCAGTTTCGATGGTCCACTGGATTTATCTGTCAAAAAAGCAAAGTTGAGCACTGGAGATGGATATTACGAGTTGCAGCAGCAAATTATTTCGAGCAAACTCATCAACAATCAACTCGATACCGAGAGTAGCGGATTTTTCAAACATATACAACCGACGTTTGATAGAGTAAGAAACAATTTGCCAGACAACAACAACAGCACCAACAACTACAACAATAGCAATAACTTCAACAATCTCAACTACATTTGCGCTAAAAATAAAAGAGTTTTTCCCGCAAAGTTGAGTGCTATAGACGCTCAAAATATCCTGGCTAATGGAAATCTTTTTATTCAGCAACAACATCAGCAGCAGCAACATTCTGAACAATTTCAACAACTGCATCAACAACAACTGCAACCACAACATTCATCCAATTTTTTATCCAATGTAATGCATCCGTCTCAATCGCTCCAACAACTTCAATTACTCAATTCATTTCAGCAACAACAACTGCAACAACAACAACAATTTTACCAGCAACAACAACGACAGCCACAGCAACAACCACCGATCGGCAATGCTGACAATCCAATTTGCATTGACGACGCTTCGCCTCAAGATGACCTCACATCGCTGACCAATCAAAGTGCTTCTGCCGCAGCTAACAGACCTTTTCTGTTTGGTTCAAAAGTTCAAAACTTGGCCTTCAACCAGCTTCAATGTCTCAACTTTTCTGATTTGCGCAACAACGTTGTCGCCAGCAACGTGGCCACCAGCGATCGCATCAGCAACAATTTCACTCTTGGCGACAACTCTTTCAATAGGATGAATTTAATCAACAACAATTTTGGTAGCAATGTCATCAGCAACATTCAGGACAGAGATAATAATACTGTAGTGGGTAATGAAACGAATTTGAATGATAGTGCTTCACTAAATGTTCCCCTGTCTCAGCTGGAAGCTTACCTCAATAACGCAACCAATCACAATGCTCTGTCAGCTTCTATCATCAACAACAACATCAACAACATTAAAAATCTTATTAACAACAACAATAACAACATCAACAGCAACATTGTCAACAACAACAACGCAAATATAGACTTGCAATTACACTTCACCAACCTTAGCAACCAGCGACAATCAAACACTTTCAACGCTCCGAGCAACTCCACCAGCCAGGTGACCGCAAACACTGCGGATGACATCCAGAAGAGCGCCAACACTAATCAGTACTTAACCAACGTCGGCCACATGTCGGGGAGCGTGCTAAACTGCTGCAGCGGTAGCAACAACAACAACTCAACACAATTTTTTCTGAGTGACGCCAGTTTAGACTGCAGCAGCAGCAGCAGCAACAACGGCAGCAGTGTTTTTAACAATATCGATCTTCTAGGTCCGATTAATAATTCTGAACAAGCTGCAAAATCACAGCTGGTACACCAGGAGTTGGGAGCGAAGTTTAGAAAGTTGCTGAAAAAAGAGATTGAGATGAGAAAAAATGCCGGTGCTTCAATTCTCTTGAAAAATCGGTTATTTTCATATTTTTGTTTAATTTATTAGTTTTTCATAATTATTCCTTTTGTTAGAGATAACGTTATTTTAAGAATAGTATAATTAATTAAAGAATAAATTTTTTCACCAAGCTTAAATCCGGATTTGTCAAATACCACCATCATGGAGCAGTCCAGGAACGTGCTAACCAATCAGCTGCCAGGTCAGATCCCCAGTCTCAACCAATCACGTTCGATAATGCCTCCTCCATATGACAACATCAATCTTGTTAATGCCGCACTCAATAACATTGACAGTCTCATGAACACGTCATTACCATCATCAATGCCACCATTATTTTCACCATCATTCTCATCATCTTCATCATCACTATCAATATCAACAGCGTCGTCATTGTTATCACTGCCGTTGCTTTCTCCAGTCTCATCAACATTAGCATCCCTGCTCCCTAACTTGCCCACGGCAGGCAGGTGCACACAGAACATCAGAAATCTGAAGAACATTCCAATAGCGAGCGTTTATCCAATCGTGAAGGACAACTGCGAACCAATCATAATCATCGAACCATCGCCTCCACCTCCGCTCTCCCCTCCTCACAATCTCTCCATCTACAATCAGCTAAACGCTAACACATCCACTTTTGGAAGTTTTCCAAACGATGCAACCAACCTATCGAGAACGGGTTTGCTGGCCGTGAACACCAACGTTAATAGCTGCAGCAGTGGCGTTAACTTGAACACCAACGACAGCACCGCCATCGGCAACTACAACAGCGGAAGTACTTTCCACCAGAAGGCTCACTGTAATGCTTTCAACAGCAGCTTAAGTAACGTCGTTAACAACAACATTGTTAACAATTTCAACAACAACATCATCAACAACAACAACATCAACAACAACTACAACATCATCAACAACAACAACATCAACAACAACAGCCGCCACATTAACTGGGACATTTCCACTGAAACCCATCACACGGAAGTTGGAAAGTTCCTCAATCGATCACGAAGTGAGGGCTCAGTCAATGACGCAGAAAGCTACCAGCAACATCAACAGCATCAACAACTGCATCACGATCAACAACAACTGCTACAGGATCATCAACAACAACAACATCAACCGCAACCACAAAATCAGCAACATTTGCAGTTACTCAATAGCGCGGAACAAATCAAGGTGGACAAGAGCAATAAAAACGCAAGTCACATTGAACGTGTGAATAATTCAGTAAATGAAGAAACTCGCCAAAATAACATCAACATCATCAACAACAACTGTAGCAAGAATGATAATGCTTTCAACATCAATAACAATGAACAAAACAACAACAACAATAATAAGAGTGATTTGGTGTCTGCTAGCAAAAGTATCAACATGCCACAACTGTTGAATTTGACTTTTAAAAATCAACAGAACGAAGACAGCGCAAATGCAAACCTTGCTAAAGCTAATGATACTGCTTTAAAACAGGACAGCTGCAACGACAACAACCACAACAGCAGCACCTGCTGCAACAACAACAACAGCAGCAGTTGCAGCAACGTACGGACGACAAAAAAACATCGTCACAATAAAAAATTAACAGGTGGCTCATCGGCTATTGAATATTTTGACGACGATGCTACCGTCAATGTGGCCGATGACAACCTATCTGCAGTAACAATTGCTACTACAACTACTTCTACAACAACGACGGCAACAAAATCGATCACGTCTATTTCTTTGACAACAAACAACAACAACACGTCATCATCATCATCGTCGTCGTCTTTGTCTTCCTCCTCATCATGCGTGCCATCGTCAAATAATGACAAGAGATGCACTTTCAAGGACATTTTAAAGGTGCCTGATGTGAAGGGCGAACAGAGAAAACGATTACCTGTGAGTACTATGAGTTTGTACTTTTGTACTTTTTCTTAAATGGTTGCTGGTACTTACACATCAATTAATGTTATTACATTGTTTTAAATGAGGACTGAATGTCAGATACATTCTGTCAAATTATGTTTCTGTAATTCGTGACTAGGTGAAAAATTATCGCGCACAGATAAATTTATTTTATTACTGCCATTCGATAGCATGATATGAAAAAATTCGTTTAAAATTTTTAATTAACTTATTTCAACTACATGTTATCGTTGGTTGTCGAGTTAGCTCAAACGGTAGAGATGTTATTTATCCCGCGACTTTGTTATTGCGGGCTCACCTGGTTCGTATGCTGTGCCGCCCAAAAATCGTAGACTGTCACTTATTTGTGTGTATGTATGATGTGGTATTTACGTTGTATTTTGGTGTGTGTGTGTGTGTGTATGTTTCATTCTTTTTGCAAAAAAGGCTATCTAGTAAGAAATAATATGCAAGCATTTCTGTGTTCTCGATCGCTTCATAGTAGCGAACAACGAAAAGTAGAAATTAAATTTACTTTGATTAAGTTAAATTTTATAATAATCCCCAACCTAACCAAACAACTTTAGATTATTGATTGATTGAATTGTCAAGTTTGTGTCGTCTAAGCTTAACTGCAAGCTTTAAAGTTTGCTCTCTAAGCACTCAATCAAAAAACATGTGCCTCTTTTGTTTTTTCACGCTGTGTTATTTTAATGATTTGTGTTCTATCTGGTTGGATTGATATAATGAAATAATAATGAAGTGTTAATCGATATTTTGAATAGTGGCCTCTTTAAAAGTTTTACAAATGTTGCCCTACCGACGATATATTTTATTAACTGTACGAGTTTTAGCAAATAACTGTTAAATAAAATAAAATAAAAGTTAAATGACGTGCTATTTAAATAGAATAATTTTTTGTCGTAATTTTTTCCGAAATTTTTTGTACCGTATTTCTTTTCAAAATATTGTTTGACAGGTCTGGAAGTTAGTTTATTTAAAGTCAATTGTCAGGCATCTTACGTTTTAGTTGGTTCATTCTTTACATTTTTGTAGCATTAGTTAGCCAGCCATTCTTATGATGTGTTGATTTTCTTTCGACCTCAAAATCTTAAGTTCTTCTAATACCTCAGGCATGCATAACTTTTCTTAACAAATTGTTTTTGTGTTAACCGACACATCTGTCAGAAAAAAAATTACCCAGGCATAAGCAAACAAATAAACAAACAAACGAACAAACAAACGAATGAACAAACAAACAAACGAACGAACAAACAAACGAACGAACAAACAAACGAACGAACGTTCAAAAACCAAACAAACAAACAAATCAATAGCACCAAAATAGTAGTCACGTTAAAATGCATTATAGGAGTGCTGTTGAAAAAATTAATCTCGTAGATTTATTAAAAAAAAAGCTGCATTCCACGCGATGCAAGTTTAAACCGATTTATGGCTTACCTTTAGGTTTTACTTCACTTTAGTAGTAGTAGTAATAGTAGTAGTAGTAGTAGTAGTAGTAGTAGTAGTAGTAGTAGTAGTAGTAGTAGTAGTAGTAGTAGTAGTAGTAGAAGAAGTAGCAGGAGTAGTAGTAGTAGTAGTTGCGGTCGCAGTCTTACCAGCGTTGCAGTAGTTGTTGCAGTAGCAGTAGTACTAGCAGTAGCAGTAGTACTAGCAGTAGCAGTGGTGATAGATGTAGTAGTACTAGCAGTAGCAGTGGTAATAGATGTGGTAGTAAAAGTAGCTTTAAAGCAATAGTAACGACTGTAAAAGTTACTGTAGCAGCGTCAACATCCACACCTATTGAAAATATAGTATTGACGTCATTATGAATTTAAAATATCATTAGCACTTGATTTGTATCGTCTTTCCTTTCAAAATATTGCTTGTTTATTATTCAGTGATATTTTTATTGTATTTGCTATCATTATTTTCATTATTATTTTCATTATTACAGATAATGACCAATCTTCATCGTACGCTACATGGCTGATGATGTTTTTTGTCTAGCTAGATGACCTCGAAAAAATGTATGATCGTTATAAGAACGGAATGTTTCGCACTGCTTTGTTTTCCTGTGTATGTACGTGCATACATAAGTGTAGTACATCTGTCTGTACGTTTGTCTGCGTATGCTAGCGTGCATATATTTGTTCGCAACTGTGTGTTTTTGTGTGCAATTTAGTTGTGTTTATATTTTAATATGTATTTATTTATTTATTGTATTTAAAGAACTGAAAGGTCAGAAGTTATTACTAACTTGTACATTACTAACTTGTACTGTCACATTAAAGTACATAAAACCTACATATACAAATCATGCACACATTTACATACACGCACATATGTTCATTGTAGGTTATAACGAACAAAAGAGTATGTTAGTTTGGAGTATGTTAGCATGTATGCTTTTGTGTAATTAAATTATGCACAAGTATGTACCTATGCAAACAAACGTGAGTGAATGTGTGTGTGTGTGTGTGCGTGCGTGCGTGCGCGCGTTTAAGTAGTTGTACGTACATGTGCAACTATTTGGTTTGTGTACATTATTGCTTTGATGTATGAAAAAGTACCTCTGTATGTGTGTGCGTGTGTTAGCGTTTGTGTATGTGTGTGTGTGATGTGTGTGTATGCGTGTGTAAAATAGATGCTAAAATGTACGGATTAAGTTGGCTGGGTATCATTATGCACATGTAAGTGTGTCTGTACGTGTACAATACTTTACGTACTTAACATACACGCCTGCAATACATAAAAGATTGATACCTATTTTTAATGGTTATTGATTTTTTTACATTTTTCAAATTTTTAATTAAACAAAAATCGATAGATTAAATACGATTATTTGTTATGTGTGCCTCGCTACCTGAAGATAATTATCCTTTGTTTTCTGTTAGAATATGTCTGAAATTATAATGATGATGTTGTTACAGTTATTGAAAACGTATCAACGTTTACAGGTTTTGCTCTAGTTCATAATCAAATAATAACTGAAAAAATATGTTAACATTTTCTGTATGGGACTTATTTTTCCTTTTTTTGCATATATTTAATATTTTAGAAGAATAATATTATTTTTGTATTTATATTTTTCATTATTTTTTATCAAATTATATAACAATTATTATGTTTATATTAAAATTTAGATTTTTCAAAAATTACATTTGAAAATATATCTCTATTGTAAATTTATTTAAAATTTTCTCTCTCTCTTTTTCTCTCTCTGTCTGGGAAAATAGTTGATTAAGGAGTAAAGAAATTTTTTAATAGGCATTTCGTCTTAATCCAATTTTCGTTACGACTGTATATTTATTTAACTTTGTTTACAAAACTTGAAAATGTTTCCAAAAAGTTACAATAGCAACAACAGCAGCAGTAGTAGCAGCAGCGTTAGTAGGCAAACAAACATTCTTTCATTAAACTCACTCAATGATTTATATCGCCTGCTTCTCATTTAAATGTTACTTACCTTCACAGCATGGCTAGACTAGACAGACTCTACTATGTCTCTTTAAAAATTTAAATAATTGTCAAACTGTCATATTGTAGACAGCGATACACGGCGAGCGACAAACAGCGACACATGGCGACAAACAGTAAGACATGGCGACAAACAGCGACAATCGGCAACCAACAGCCACACGTGGCGACAAAAAACAAGTCAGCGACAACGACAGATAGCGACACACAGCTACAGACGGGCATCTACACACAACGAAAGAGACAAAGACTGATAGCAACAATACTATGCGATTGTTTTTGCAATATTATTAAACAATCTTCTTAATAATTAATTGCCTATATTATATTTTTCAATTAATATTATTCATCTTAAAAATTGCCTTTTTTATATTTTCTAATTATTATTCATATTACTTTTTTAACCCTCCACACAGCTTCCACAATCATCAACTAGTGATGGACAACCCGCCAAGATTCAGAAGTTACTTTCAACAGGTGAGATGAGGATGGTGGCGATGTTATTGTTGTTGCTGATGATGTTGTTGTTGTTGATGGTGTTGATGAAGTTGATGATGTTGTTGTTGTTGATGGTGTTGATGAAGTTGATGATGTTGTTGTTGTTTTTGGTAGTTATGCTTTCTACTATTGATGATGATGATAATGATGATTGATGTTGTTTTTTGTGGTGATGTTGTTGTTTTTGGTAGTTATGCTTTCTACTATTGATGATGATGATAATGATGATTGCGATGTTGTTTTGTTGTCGATGATGATGATTTGTTGATGATGAAGATGATGGTGATGAAGACGACGATGATGGGACTATGTTATATAGTGTAATCACAATGGGACTACTTACATTACAATGGTATTATGATGGTGATGTGATGATGAAATTATAGTTGTGATGATGTGGTTGTCACGGTGACGACGATGATGATAATGTGATGTAATGATATTGAGGTGACTGACTATGATTTAACATAGTTTTGTAAATTATTACAAGGATAATGGTTTGTTATGTAAGGATAATAAAGAAAAATAATGATGAAAAAGGTGACACACACACATACACACACACACACACACACACACACATATATATATATATATATATATATATATATATAACTAATAACTTGGTTATTTATTTTAAAAAATTTACCAAATAATTCCAGGTTTGTTGCAACAAAAACATAAAATAAAACTGTTTTTCCTATTTCTAGACTCAACTCAAAAGCATTTTTGGCGGCTGGGATTGTTTTTTTTAGCATTTAAAAACTGCACTAGAGAGATTTTTAAAAATTTTGAAAGGAAAAAGTATTCTAACGTAGCAGTAATTACACGTTATTTATGACATACAAACACACACACACGTACACGCTAACACACGAACAAACACCATTCACACTGACAAACACAACGACATTGCACTTGTTGCGAATCAAAAACATCCCATCAAACAAACAAACAAATAAAACGTAAATGTGGGTCAAATAGGACAATTATTATTGTTATTGTTGTTGTAGTTGTTGTTGTTGTAGTAGTAGTTGTTGTTGTAGTAGTAGTTGTTTTTGTTGTTGTCCTAATGCTATAAAAAAATAGGTCATCATAGAATATCTAGCTCTAATTCTTTTTGTTATAAAGCCAGCGTGTGTTTTGTTGAAAAAAAAAGAAAAATAATAATAAATGCAAAAAATGAATAAAAATAGGAATGAAACGTTTACCTTTGTTTTTGACACGTTTAACTAGGTGTCATTATTATTATTATTCAATTAATAAATTAATATTTCTATTATTTATTTATTTTATGAAGTGATCAATAATAACCACTTCAATGCATTGTTGATGTTTTGCGACAAACACACACACAACATACACACACACTCACACGCACGCACACGCACACGAATTAATACACGCACACGCAACACCCACCCACGTTGTTATTAAATATCTGAACGGGGAATCTTAAGATGCAGTATATTAAAACATTTTTTTTTATTTACTTAAAATAAAATTATCATTTTTTTTTGTTATAAAAATAATTATTAATAATTGAAAATGTTAAAAAAAAATTTTATAGCTCGATTTAAGCTTATTTTTTAGTTTAAATAGCCTAATTTTGCGATATTGTATTTACTGTGCCATAGAGATACACGAAATTCTTTAAAATCACCAACGATAGCTAAGTAGATAGATCATTCTAAACATAATTAAAACTACAAAAGTATTTCGTAGCACGAGCAACAAACGATTCCTTTGTACGTGATGTAAAATGGATTTGACAGCTGACAAGGGTGATGTTGATTAAAATAATGCCTTTGTCATTCTTCATTTATAAGTTTCTCAACGCTTTAATTGATTATTTTTTTCTGACAAAACTAAAGTAGGGTAACATGGGGTAAGACTCTAAGGAAAAAGTTCGATTAAATCAAATTTATGCTATAAAACTGTGAGATTTTTAAACTTCCAGAAAGATCACTCATAGCAGGAGTGGGCAAACTTTTTGCTGTGAGGGCCGCATTGAGAACAATTTTATTTTTGAAGGGCCGCATATGTACTTAAATAGCAAATTTTTTCGACCCGGGGAGAATTTTTTAAAATTTGTGGCTCCTTTTTTTGGTCATAATGTCTGGTTGACGACCTTTTATTAAGCGAGCAAGGTCACGCGGGCGGGCCACATAAAATAGCTTTGCGGGCCGCATGTGGCCCGCGGGCCGTAGTTTGCCCACCCCTGACTCATAGTATTTTATATAAATACATAATTTTAACAAATAAAAAGGACCCAATGAAAAATTTTTGCCATTAAAACTTTTTTGATAAAGGGGCTTCTTACCCCAACATTGGGGCAAAACGCCTACTGGGAGCGTTTTACCCCATGTCAATGTCATAGATAGTGTTTAAAAATACATTGGTAAATTTGAATATTCAACCAAATTTATTAAACAAAACTATCAAAACAATGTTAACAAATATTGAAAAAAACTGTTAATGTATTTAAATTGATTATTCAATTATTCAAACGTTTATTAAAACAGAACTGATGCTTAATCTGAATCAGAATTTTCACAATCAATGCATATAAATTGTTCATTATAGTTCTCATCAAGTCCTTGGCATTCATTGTGAGCATGTTAGAGACTGACATTGAATCCAGTTTCGACCCGTTACATCATCACAATATTTCAACTGACAAGTATTACACGGTAATACTTCACAATTTTTTTCTTTTTTTCTTTACCGCTACCTTTTATCAGTTGTCGTTTTGACATAGTCTTTGAATTTTCCCTTTTTTCGAGTAAATTTTTGTAAGGACTAGATGTCAAAAGGGCAGCTTTTTCTGATTTTCGTTTTCTAATTCTCACGTTGTCAATTTTAATTGGACCCATGATCTTCAACAGTGTCGTTTTAGGATCTTTCTTTGCATGATCAACTTCCTGTGCAGGTTTCACAGATTCAGGTGTTGGTTGAGCTAAAGTGACTGTATTCGGTAAGGGTTCATCTGTTAGCTTTGATGCAAAAAAATCTTCTTCAGAAAAAATTTGTTTCGAGGCCACAAACCAGTGCATTCAAAACCATGCACAGCTTTTTCTTGGGTGGCTGCTTTCAAAAATGCTGTTGAAAATAGTCCAGCTATTTCATAAAAGGTTATCCGTCTTCCTTTGTTACTAAGCATCCATCCATCTGCAGTTGCATTGTATGCAGCTTTCAATCCTTTAAAAAAGGAAACATCAAGAGGCTGCATCTTATGTGTGCAGTGGGGTGAAAATGTTATTAATTCAATTCCATTTTCACGACAAAATGTCACTGCCTCAAGTGTTTTGTGAGAGTGATGTTCATCAAGAAAAATAAGATGCTTGTCTTTTTTTGAGGGCTTTACAATAAATGTAAAATGATTCAACCATCTCATAAAACATTCACTGTCTGTCCAACCGCTTGGGGTACAAACTCCAATAGCACCTGGTGGTGCCTCATTCATCAAAGAGTCAACCATACGCTTCCGTGGAAAAATAAACATTGGAGGTATGTACATCCCAGCTGCATTGAAAGCACACATTACTGTTGTAGTTTGACCCCGTTCCCCGCTTGTCATACGACCAACAAGTCTAGTGCCTTTAGTCGCAACCACTTTTACTGGTTTTTGCACTGTTGAAATACCCGTTTCATCGACGTTCCAGATTGTCAAAGCATTAAACGAGTATAGGGACTGAAGTTCCTCATAAATGTCAAAAAAAGATTTAACCTTCTCCTGATTAAAACCAACTGCTCGTGAGATATTTGTTGCCTCAGGCTGTCTTATTGACAGTTGGTTATTTCTCCTTAAAAAACCGTGTATCCAATCTACTCCTGCCATTTTTGTCTCATTACTAAATCGATGCTCCAGGTCCATTTTCTCAGCAAAATCATATGCCAATTTTCGCACATCCATAATGCTTAAACCAAATAAAGCCTTTTCCATATTTTGAATTAGGGACACCAATTCTTTTTCATATTGAATGGGTATATCCAATTCGAATCGTCCCAATTTCAATTTTCCCGGCTGTAATACTTTCTTATCCCGGTGTCGTCTTAGTGTTCGTTGAGGAATACCGTACTGCCGTGCAGCTGTTTTCACTGGTGTTCCATCATGAATGGCCGCTAATGCCTGACGAAGCGACTCTTCTCCGTATGATCCTCTTGCTGATTTTCTTTTGTAAGACCGTGGCATTCTGTTAAGTTAAATTAAAAAGTATGACTGTTAAAGTTAAAAAGGAAACCAACAAACAACTGTTAAATTTCATTTTTCGATTTTAAGGATTAAAACAATATTAAATAGTTTTAGTACTAAATTATTCTTTAATTACATTATTTAAAAGAGGGCGTTTTACCCATTTTATAGGGGGGCGTTTTACCCCAAAGTGTATTGTAAAATTTTAACCGATAATGTGCTACGATGGATTGAAATTTAGATTTAAAAAAAATCGTGTTAAATAGTGTTAATAATACAAAATTTTATCACTTACTTCAACTTTTTGAGAAATAACTTCAGTTTTTGAGAAAAAGCTTTAATGATTATGTTTATATTTGTAATAGATAGCCCTAAAATCTTAAACTTTCATTAATTATCAACCAAAACAACGCGCGGCTTCCACAACACAGACCATTTAATTACATAGATAATCTAATGTTATGGCAGTTAAAAAAAATTGCAGCGCAATAATTTCGCTCAACATGGACGGGAGGTCTCTTACCCCTAGTAGGCGCTTTACCCCACGTTACCCTACAGATGAATTAAAGTTAAATTTTTGGGGAAATTATTGAAAAAAATTTTTTAATGTACAAAAATTTGTAATTTTCATCCAAATCACGATATATTCAAGACAGTGTTCATTATAATTAGGTACGCTGAATCCAAATTAAAAGCGTTTGAAAATGTTCAAGTTGTAGTTTTACTTCAACCCTTCTAATACTGCAACTACTACAACTACTGCCACTGCTAAAGTTACTACACTACTACCATGTGTTGCTACAACTGCCGCTTCAACTACTATTACTATTTTATTCTTTTTTCATCATCAATCTCTTCTTATCCTCCTCCTCCTTCTTTTTCATCATCATCATCTTCTTCTTCTTTTTTCTTTTTCCTCTTCTTCTTCATCTTCTTCTTTCTCTTTTTCTCTTTTTCTTTTTTTTCTTTTTCATCATCATCATCATCATCATAATCATCATCATCTTCTTGTAATTATTGTTATTATTATAATTATTGTTATTATTATTATTATTATGTTAATTACTTCCTCCTGTCGCTTCTATTCAATAACTTCATTCTTAACACTACTGTGCTACTAGACAATGAAATGGCGTCAAACGAACGGCTACCTCTGTGAAGACGAATTTAAAAGAATGGATTTGTGTTGGCACCCACACACACACACACACGCTCACACACACACAAACACAAACACACACACGTAGTCAAAGGAACAACAAACTATAAACAAGACAAACAAATTAAATAATATTTAATAATAACAACAAAACAATACTAAAACAAACAAAAAAACGCTTGCACGTACACACACACATACACACACGAACAAAAACACACATTCACGCACGCACATCACAAAAGTTGATAAATTTTAATTGCTTTTCCGGAATTTCCCATCAATCAAAAACTGCTAGTAATAATTATAACATGACATCATCAACGAGTGACATCAAATAATTTTTTTTATAACATTTGATATTACATTAAACTATCACAAAAACATAACAAACAAATGCAAATTGTAGTTAAGCAAACAACAACAACATTTATAGATGACGTAATGATAATAACAAACAACAACATATAAAATGACGTCACGATAGTTATACACAACAACAGCATAGTAACAAACAAACGAACGACAAAGAAAATAACTAAAACAACTTACTGATAACAAACAAACAAAATAACAAACAAAGTAACCAACGAACAAACCAATGAAACGAACAAACAAACAGCCTCAAACAAAACAAACCACAACAACAATAACAAAAACATGATGATAACAAACAAGGAGATAGCAACTGCATCGCGGAGTCGACGCCATTAGACGTGCCGACCTGGAAAAATCTTTTAAAAAAACTTCCAGCAATATTCCAAAAATATTTATTAGCGTGTATGTGCGTGTGTTGTGTATATATCTGTATGTTTGCGTTTGTTTGTTTGTGTGTTTGTTATGTTTGTGTGTGTGTGTGTAGTGTGTTATTATGTGTGTTATGTGTCTATGTGTCTGTTTCACACACACACACACACACACACACACACGCACACACACACACACAACAACAACAACACACACACAAAGATACATAAACGATTGCAAAATGACAAGCATTTAATGAAACAATTTTTGGACAATTATTTTAATACTCTTCATTTTCATTTAGAGAATGAATGGAACGCAGTCATCTGTGAACAAACGTGGTGTTCACTCGTTCACCCTAGCAATGTTCGCGCACGAACGGACAAACAAACACATCCAAACATTTTCACCTGTTCCTTCAATTTGTCGTTGTTGAAACTCGAATATTTGCTCACTAGGGCATGGTTCGAAGATATATCGGCCAGTTTGTGTGCGAGTTTCAATTATGAAGTGCTTTATTGCAGCAGTCTGGTGTTTCTATTTATTTGTGGAAGTTTTTTTTTATTTGTGAAAAATGAGAAAGATTGTAAAAAAAGATTGAGAGAGAGAGAGAGAGAGAGAGAGAGAGAGAGAAGAAACTTAGAAGAAATTTAGAAATTTGAATGAATACAAATGTAATGAACATGTTCACATTTGAGTAGTGAGCAGGTATGTGCAAGAACAATTTGAAGCTTCGTTTTAAATAAACAACTAATTAGCTATATCAATTCATCATTTAAAAAATAATTCCCATTCAATTGATTCAACTGAATATAAGAAACTTGAATTAAATAGTTAGAAACTTGAATTAAATAGTTTTAAAAAGTTCAGTCTTGATATAAAACATTTCTTCAGAGCTTGCAAAGAAGGAGGACAGTTGTGGTGTTATTAGAGACCAGCAGCAACAACCGCCACCACTTCTTCTTATATCGTCGTCGTCCACGTCATCATCATCGTCGTCATCATCATCATCATCTCCGTCATCATCTTCTTTATTATCACCAACAACAACACCTTCATCATCCCCATCAATATCATCACCCACAACATCATTGTCGTCATCATCGTCACCGTTGAAAGCATCTGACGTCATGAATGAGGTAATAATGAGCCCTCATCAGAAGAACGCGGGAAGGTGTGCCGGAAGGTCGGGTAAAGAAAAGGCCCTGTTGAAAAGTCAGTCGATTGTTGTTGTTGTCGTTGTTGATGTTGTTTCTGTTGTTGATTTGTTGTTGTTGTTAATGTTGTTGTTGTGTTGTTGTTGATATTTTTGTTGTTATGTTATATTGTTGTTTGTTGATAGTGACGACGATAATGATGATGATGAGGATGTGTGAGGATGGTGGTGTTGTTGATGATGATGATGATGATGATGACGACGACGACGATGTGATGATGATATCTTAAAGAACAGGGCTTAATAAATTAATTGGTTCGGGATTTTAATTTTTATTTAATTTTGCTAATCAATTAACCAATTCACCACAAAATGTATTGAACATTGAAATTGCTTGATAATTAATGGAATGAATTAATAAATAAATTAATAATTCATTAATGAATGCATGAATGAACAAACTAAATAATTAAATGAAAGAACAAACAGATAAAAAATTAATATATGGAATGTTGGATGAGTAGTTTAATGAACGAACGAACGAACAAATGGATGGATTGATGGATAAGTGATTGAATGATTTGATGAATGGTTAGGTAACAAATCAAACAAATGGTTGATTAAATTATTGAAAAAATGAAGGAACGGACAAGCAAAACATGGAAATAAAATTATGAATAATAATAATAATAACAATAAATAACACTGATAACAATAATAATGTAATGAATGAATGAATGAATGAATGAATGAATGAATGAATGAACGGACGTACGGATGGATGAATGAGCGAGTGAATGAGCGAAAGAATGACAGAAGTTTGATGATGGATGGCATGTGCCTATACGCTCAGCAGTTGAGTTATTATTGATCGATGGTTGTTGTTGTGGTCGTTGTGGTTGTGGTTGATGTCGTTGCTGCTGTTGCTGAAGCTGTTTTGTTGTTGTTTATCTACTTGGTAATTTGGTTACTTGTTTTACTTTATAATGTATTTAGACTTTAAAAAAGTGGTTGTTTTGATGTTATTGTCGTTGATGTTATTGTTACTGTCGTTGATGTTATTGCTATTGATGTTTTTGTTGTTAGTGTTGGTTTTTAAATAAATAGTTTCAGCATTGTCACCAATTTGTTCTTTTTTCAGCTTTCCAGCATTCAGTTGCGGCATGTTAAAATTTGTTTTTCCATTGTCATCAATCATCATTCTTTAGTAGCCATCATCATCCGCTAAACACATCGTCACATTTTTTAATTTATCCACCAATCATATCACCACTTATTTTTATCTTCAGCCAATCATATTACCATGTATTTTTTATTATCACAGTTTTTGTTTCAAATTTAAATTTCCCTACTTGTCTGGATGGTTTAATCCTGACCTTTCTACATCAATTTTATGTTGACGATGTTTTTATTGATATAGCCACACTACAAATACACACACACACACATACACGCGCACACACACATACACGCACACAAATACACATATTATTAAT